GGTCTTGGCTGAGCTGGGTCCCAGCATCTGCCCCACAGAGGAAACTGAGTGAGTCATGGGACCAAGAGCAGGACAACTGCCCGTCTGCCCCAGCCTCCCATGTCCCCAGCAGAGGCCAAGGGTGGTAGGAAGGCCCCCGTGGAGGAGGGTGCGTGGACGCTCAGAGCCAGGAGCTGTGGCAGGGTGTGGGGCTGGCCTTTGGGTCCCAGATGCTTGGGCTCTGGGGTAGGGGAGGGTCAGGGAGCTGGACACCCAGTTATTGCCCAGGCACACTTGTTCCTGATTTGAGGGGGGCTGGCCGGGCGGCCGGGGTGCAGGTGGGTCTTCAGCCCCCTCAGGAGGCTTTTTGAGGTGCACCCCACCCAATGCCCTCATGAATCCCACTCCCCTACTCGGGGCAGCTGGCTGGCCTCTCCAGACTTGGCACCTGGGGGCTGATTTCGGTAAGATGGGGCCCTGTGTGAAAGGGGACAACCGGGGTCACTCCGGAAGGTGGCTCAGTCCCAAGCTCCAGGCTCTTCTACATGAGTGACCATGTTTATTCCTCACCATGTCCCTGTGGCCCATGTTCCCATTTTGCAGATGGGAAGGCAGAGGCTCTGCTCACAGGGCCCACGGACTTTTTTCTCATGCTCTGTCCCTGGGGAAAGGGCAAGTGGATGGGTGACCCTGTCCCAGGCCTTGGAGGTCGGCTTCTCTTCATTCTCGGTTTAGGAAACCTCCCAGGCCTGGCTCCAAACCTGGCCTGGCTGCCCCCCGCGCAGCTCATACCTGGCCACGGCATTCACGCCCAAGGCCAAGCACTGTGAACCACTTAACATGGCTGACGGCCAGGTGTCCAGCATTCTGCATGGAGGGTTAAGCGTTCATGTGGCTGAGTGGCCGTGGCTGCGTCTGGATGAGCCTTAAGACTAGCTTGTCTGTGGGATGGGTCCCCAGTTGCTGGGTGCAGGGCTGACCCCTCTTCCCCAGGTCATCTGGCTTCTGGACTCCAGGCCTCTGCAGAGGAGCTCGGGAAGTCACCATCTTCCTCCGCCCCTTCCCAGCTGTCCTGGGGCCGGGTCTTCTGCCTCAGGCCCCCTGCCAGCTCTGGGTGGCCCCTCTACATGCTCAAGGTGAAACCTGTGGGCTCTGCTCCCTTTCTGCCTCAGTTTTCCCAGGTGGACAGTGAGGGGATGGGGTGGGTATCCTGAGGGCTGGGCCCCAAGTGGCAAAGAGGGCGTGTCTGCCATGGGCCTGGCTCCTTGGTGGGGGCCTGGGGCGAGCAGGGGCTGCAGTGGTTCCTGCTGGGGACCAGAGCCAGGCTGTGGGCCTTTGGGGATGGAGCCCACTGTGGCTGCAGGGAGTGGCCGGAAGAGTCACGTCTCTAACGTCTGTCACCCGTTTCCTTGTCCATAAACTGGGTGGGAGCGAGGGAGGCACGGCGCCTGGTGGTGCTCACTGGTTGCACTGGAAGTCTGCGAGCCAGGTGTGTGTGTCGCTGAGGTCCTGTGATCAGGCGTGTGTTCATGTGCATGTATGTGTATGACTGTGGAGGGTGGAGCTGTGTTCCCAGGACAGACAAGCCAGTTCCCTGGAGTCCGTGGGGATTAGACTTCTATCCCCCTTCTCGACTGCCTGGACTTGTGCCTCGGGGCCATTTCCTCCTGCAGCTCCTTGGGGAGGGTGAGGCCCACCATGTAGTTCTGTGTCCAGAGTGCCCGGCTGGTGAGGCCCGTGGATGGGTGGTGGTGATTTTCCCGGAACTGAAGGGCACCAACTCCTGTGACGGCCCCGGGTCTCTGCCCACATTCCCTCCAAGTCCAGAGAGACCTGTGGCCTGGGGCCGTGAGGAGACCTCATGCCTGGGACTGAGGCTATGGGGTGGCCTGGCCCAGCCGCCCTGGGGGGGAGGGGTCCCCGTGGGGCTGGTCATGTGGCCTGAAGCCTTTAGGGTCCTGGTCTGGAGTCTATCTCATCCAGACCCTGACAGCCTAGTTGTGGGTCCTGGGGCCAGGCTGGTTCCTCCTTGGGCTGCAGACAGGAGGGAGGGTGATGCCTGGGCAGCGAATACACACAGCAGCTTTGCCCTGTGCTTGGCTAAGGCTTCCCCCCAGTAATAGCCAAGTGCACACTGGGGAACATTGTCCTTGCCCCAGATGCCCCTAAACCATGGAATCAAACACCTTCCCTCACCCCACCCCCAAGCTCCCACCTTGAAGTACATCCTTCAGACCGGCCCAGATGCAGGTGGGGTTTATTTTAAGGTTAAGTGGAACCAGACCGCAAATGCCGTCTGAAGCTTGTTTTTCACCCGGCACTCCTCCAGCCTTTCCCACGAGGAGGAGGTCGGAGGTTGGAGGTTAGAGGTTAGGCTCCCTGCTGCCTAGTGGGGCGAGGCAGCCTCCATGGCTGGGTCTGTTGTCTCTGGCAGGTGGCCAAGGTGGAGTACGTCAGGAAGAAGCCAAAGTTAAAAGAAGTCCAGGTGAGGCTGGAGGAGCACCTGGAGTGCACGTGCATGCCCACCAGCCTGAACCCCGATTACCGAGAAGAGGAGACAGGTAAGCAGTCTCCTCGCTGCTGTTACCAGTTACCAAAGGGTCCTTGGTCTGGCTTCTGGGGCTGCAGTGAAGCGGGGCTCGGGGGGCGGTGGGATTTGGGCTGCCGTGAGCCCACTCAGCCGCTTGCTGACTGGCCAGCGTGCCCTGGGGACCCGCTGGGCCAGAGCCTGCCACCCATGGGCATCGGCGGGGAGGTGGCCGAGCTGTGTGGCTCTGGCAGGAGAGGTTCAGGCTGGAGTGAGGAGGGGTAGGGTGTGCGTTTTAAGTCTCCGGCCCTGGCCGGTCGGCCGGTTGGGGTCATTAGGGGAGACGAGTTTGAGTTGGGTCTCCTCCCAGGTGGGGAGGTGGGTGCTGGGCCGCTGGCCGCAGCGTTGCCAGTGGGGCTCTTGGCCTCCCCTGCGGACAGATTGCCCAGAGGCGGCTGCCCCAGGGAACCAGGAGGGCTCCTTCCCGAAAGGCAAGCAGCTCAGGTGTTTGTCGTCGGCGCCCACCGGACAGCCCTCTCGGGCCCGCTCACCTCCCTGCCCTTCTGTTAACAGGAAGGCGTAGGGAGTCAGGTAGAAAGCGGAAAAGAAAGAGGTTAAAGCCCACCTAACCCGCCGACCAGGTAGGCGCTGTGGCGGGGGCCACGCGGAGGGGCCACGGCCCGCGGGCGGCGTGACCACCGATCATGGGCAATCTCCCGGCGAGGACGCAATGATTGGCCTTGATTGCTCTGCGAGCTTCTGGTGTCTGGCTGGGCTGTGGGTCTCCTGCTCCCGCCCCCACCCCTCCCCTCCTGCCCCGTGGGAGCCTGACCCACGGCCCTTCGGTCCCGAGGCCCTGCTCTGGCTTTGGTCTTTGTGTTGGGGGACAAAGGCGTCTCATGAGTGTACTGATTAGGGGTCCTGGGCAGCAGTGGGATCAGCTTAGGCAGGTTACCCACCTCATTTGACAGGTGAAAAAACAGGTTTAGAGACATGGCAGTTAAGGGTTGTCTAAGGCTGAGCAGATCCTTTAAGGTTGACATTCATGACTGATGTGTAAAGACAGGGAGACCAGAGCAAGTAAGGCGATCTCGAGGTGTCGTCAGGGGCCCTCTTCTATCCAGGACTGGTGCTGTCCGTCCTCAGGTGCCTCGTGGCCCAAAATGGCTGCTAAAGCTCCAGAAATAACATCCACACTCCAGGCCGGAAGAGAGTAAGGTGGGAAGGCGGGTAGAGCAACCCCCTTAGAGAACTCCCACCCAGCGACTTCCACTTTGATCTGATTAGCCATCCTCGGCTGCAGGGGAGCCTCGGAAATAGTCTTTTAGGAGACATGCTGCTCCCCAGAAGAAAATGGGACCTGGGCAACCACAGTCAGCCTGGAGGAGGCAGTTTCAAGCCTTCCTGATCCTTGGTGTTGGCCTGTCTGGCTCTGGAGAGCCTGGTCCTTGTCTCTGGTCCATGGCACCCAAAATAAATAGTGGTGAGAGGAATTCTTAGAGACAGGTGTCCGAGAGCCTGGGTTGCGGTTGGCAGTGTGGCTGCAGGAAGCTGCCAGGTCAGCTTTTGATGCCTGTGAGTCAGGTGCATTCGTGAGGATCCTCTGGGGAGGAAAGGCCCATGTGGACGACCCAAGGGGGTGTGCTGCGGGGTGGTGGTTTGTGCCATCTGTGCATCTAGCCTACAGACCACTGGGCTCTGGCCTCTGAGCCAGCTGATGACAGAGACCCCACAGTGCGAGGCGGGGTCCCCGCTCTCCCAGGCCCTGCTGGCATTCGGGCTCTGGGCATGTGGGTGGTACAGTGTTAGAGTGGGCAGTGGGCAGGTGAGGTGGCATGGCAGGGAGCTGCTCTCAGCTCAGCTCAGCGCACGTCCGCCTGGTCGCAGAGACCCCTGGCTGGCTGGCGGTGTCTGTCCGAAGGGTTGCCTCGTGGCCCAGTGTGGCTGCCAGAGCTCCAGGAATCACAGCAAGCCCTAGGCTGCAGGGACGAGGCAGGTGAGGAGAACGACAAAAGGACCTTTCTGGGCCTCGGTTTCCCTGTGTGCAGTGGCAGAGTGGGGCGCACTCCCGAGCCCTGTTCTTTCGTGAGATTCTGAGAACCGGGTCCCAGCTCTGGGCAGGCTGCTAAAGGGTAACGAGCCACATGCGGACTGAAAAATTTCACGAGAAGGACAAATCCTAAGACTTGCCGCTGTGTGTGTGGACACGCGTGCGCACGCGCCCTGGGCTGCGCACTCACTCTGGGTGAGGCGCTCGCGGTCCCGTCTCTGACTCTCTCCCTCTCCCTGCAGATGTGAGGTGAGGATAAGCTAGCAGCCCTTTCCCGGGACACGGATGTACATGGCGCGTTACATTCCTGAACCTACTCTGTACGGTGCTTATTGCCAGCGTGCGGTCTTTGTTCCCCTTCGTGAAAAACTGTCTCCATGCGCACCCTGGAGAACAAAGAGACAGTGTACGTTTGTTTAATGTGACATCAAAGCAAGTATTGTAGCACTCGGTGAGACAGTAAGAAGCTTCCTTGTCAAAAAAAGAGAGCGCGCAAACAAAACCACAGAGCATGACGGACAGAGCTGACTCAGAAATACCTAAACAGTCGTGGGAGAGGAGGGGCGCCCTGTGGGACAGAAGCGGCGGGCGCCTGGCTGATGGATTCTGTCCAGGGTGGTCGCAGGTGCTTCTGCCAAGGACGCGGATGGGGCCTGCCCTTCCTGGGAGACGGGCCGGGTGCCGCAGCTCGCGGGGCGCGCAGGAGCCGGAGCGTCTGGGAACCGCCGTGGGACTTTAGAAACCATATCTCCTCGCTGTAGTGTTTAAGTCTATACAGAACCTTCCTGAGAGCCTTAAGTGGGTTTTTTTGTTTTTTTGTTTTTTACACCATAAAGTGATTATTAAGCTTTCCTTTTTACTCTCTGCCTAGCTTTTTTTTTTTTTTTTTTAAATTATCTCTTGGATGACATTGACACCGATAACACCAGGCTGCTGTAACAGGACAGTGAGAAGGTATCTTTCCTAGCAGGATGCAAACAAATAAGATGTATTAAATAAACATGGTATACCCGCCTATGCATCATTTCCTAAATGTTTCTGGCTGTACGTGTTTCTCCCTGGCCCTAGCTCATGTTGCTTTTTAATTTAAGCCATTTCGAGAGAACTATGCGTGAACCAATCAAAGGCGGCCCCGTCTCCTTGTCCCCGGAGCTCCCGCCGATGGCCACAGCGTGGCCGTGGGACGTGGCTCCTGCTGCCCACGCTTGGACACAACCCAAATTCTTTATTTTTGGTAAGATGTTATGCTTAATGTGTACTCAAGAGAAATGTGTGTGTGTTGTTTTTTTTGTTTTTGTTTTGTAAAGGTGACGTTTGTATTTTTATCTAATATTACCAGTTTTATATACCTGAGAGCCTGCTATGTTTTTGTTTTTTTTTAACCAAAATGGAAAAAAAAACCCCCCAACAAAGCCCATGCACATGAAACTCATTTTGTGGTCGTGTCTTCCTAGCTGGGTAACTGAGTCTTGGCTCTGCCTCTGGTCTTGGCCTGCGGTGCAGCGGCCGGGGCTCCTGGTGGTAACTGGGAGGTGACCGCCTCCGGGCTGGCCCCACGACCAGAACTTAGGACGCGGCCTGCCCTCGGGACTCGAGCCTGGTGGGAGTGGGCCAGAGAAGCCGCCTCGCCGGTGCATGTGGCCGCGTGGAGATGGAGGCCGTGCACCTGTCAGAGCAGCCACGTGGATCATGGAGGATTTTAATCCAGAAGTGGTTGACCTCACTGTCCCCACACGAGAGCCAGTGAACACTGCTGTCCCCGTCCTCGAGGCCACCAGGCTCCTGTGGCCATAAAGATCCTTGTTCCCCAAGGGCTTGTCGCTGCATCTGGAAGATTTTTTATAAAGAAATTCCTCCGGCACATTTTCTCCGTCTGGTTCCCGGAACAATGCCTCGGTGGGCTGGGGGAGGAGGGGTGGGGACGTCGGCTGTGTCCCCTGGTTCTCGCTGGACCCCTGGAGTGCAGCACCCCTGGCGTGGGTGGGCGGACCTGCCCCAGGCCCCTTGCTGTTCGCAACACTGCCTGTGAACATGTCTGATGTTAGATGTGTAGACGTGTCATTTGTGTGTATGTTCCGTGACACCCGGGAATACCGCTCAGTTTTTCTTTGCGTGACACTGGCTGATGAGTGGTCTACCCCGTTGAAGCGATGTGGCAGGAAAGCCGTGTGTGCTCATGAGGAGAAAGTGCCACCAGGAGAGGTCCAGGTGCCCGAGGAAGCTGGTGGCAGTGGTGCCTTGTGTCTGCTGGCGGCCCTGCTGCGCTGCAGCTGGTCGGGGGGCCGCACCCACGCAGCTGCAGGCTTTGCCCTGCATTCCCAGCATTTCCCATCCGGCACCGGCACCCTGGGCTGCACCTGGGTGCGGCTGGGCTGGCTCTTTACAGTCCTTGAGCCCCGTGCCCTTGAGCCAGGGGCCTCTGTCAGGGCCTCCGTGTGGGCTGCGGCTCAGGCAGAGCGCGGTCGGCCATGCCGAGGGCAGAGGAGGTGGGGGGCCTGGGGCCCTGCTGGGTCTCGGGGTTGGCTGCCTCCGTATGCAGAACTGTGTCACGCCTGCCCCTGCAGGTCCTCGTTTCTGCAGTTCTGGGCCCAACATCAAGGAAGCTCGGGGGCGGTACCCTGTCCACCTGTCCACCTGCTTGGAGACCCGTGGTCACCTGGTCACACCTGTCCTTGTGTGGGAGATTTTGTCAGGAGTTGTGAGGCCCAGGTTCCAGGTGATGGGTGTGCCCTGTCATGGGGCCACCTCCCTTTCTATCCAGGCCTCTGTGTCCAGTCTGTGAAGCGAGTGAGCCTGGCTGGAGAGCGGCTGTCCCTCCTGGCTGCCGGGTGCTGTGTCCCATCCTCCAGCTGCTGGCCCCGGCCAGGCTCAGACCATCTCTGGGCGCAGTCATCCTCCGGTCCCTCCAGCCCATCTAGAGACAGGGAGTGGTGCCCTCAGCATGTCCTTAACCTTCTTGGAGGACCCTGAGAGAAGAGCAGTGATGGGGGACACTGACTTTTGGGGGGTGAGGGGACAGCAGGCGTATCTGAGGGGTCATTCTGTCTCATGGGGCCTTGGTTTCCAGTGGAGGTGTTAGCCAGGTGGGAAGTGCCCCTGGCTGGGATGGGTCTGTATCAACTGAGTGATGCCTTAAAAACCCAACTCGTTCTCATGCTCTGACAGTGATACGAGATTTAACCTCAAAGAATGTCAATTTAAATTAACAAGGTGAAAGGGGTCAGGGTGCTGAGGGACACCCGTGTAGGAGGATGCTGTAGCACAGATGTGTCCAAAACCACAGTGCAGGCCACTGTCCCCACAGCTCTGGCTGTGTCCCAGCCTCTGTGCTGTGGCCGTCCCTGGGGGTCATGTGTCACCTGCACTTTCTAGCACACCCACCTCCTGCACTGCTTAGAATCCTGCCCTGAGAATGAAGTTGGAAACCTGGGCGGGCCCTGCCTGCGGAGGGATCTCCAGGTGCTTCCTGCCAGCCTCACGGCCCAGTGGCTGGAGAGCTGAGGGAGCATCTCATCCCACCTGGGCGGGCGGGAGGCTCTGATCCTTCAGCCACAAGTTGGGGCCGCCGGGTGGGGTGCAAGGATGTGGCTTTGCTGGGCTCTCCCCTGCCCTGGACCAACCAGCAGTGTAACGTTGGGCATCTCACCACGAAACCTTGGGTGTCTCATGACTTTGGATGACCTTGCCATATGACCTTGGTTGGTGGGTCATTTCTCTGTTCTGGGAAACTGTCGCTGGCCTTGTACTGGGAGGGAGTCTTGGAGTCCTCACCCCACACCTGTCACACAGAGGGGGTAGGATGGAGCTGCTCCGCAGACAAGGGAGTGTGAGCCCTGGGCTAACGCCAGACCCCAGGACTGAGAGTATGGAGCTGAGATGAGGGGTGGGCCAGGCGACCCCAGATGAGAGGCTGGGGACTTCGCTGCTCCTCTCCTCCCTGGGTTGGACATCGGGGCCACCTTGCCCTGCTCATGCCTCCTGCAGCTGACAGTGTCTTCCTGGGGCCGTGTGTTCTCCACAGCAGCCTGGACCCTTGGAGGCAGGGCTGAGGCCTAAGTCTCTGGGTCCCCAGGTTGTCCCCGAAGGGGGCAGCAGGCTGTTTGCTCAGAGCCTGGTTCTTGGGGACACCGGGGGCCTCGATCCCAAATTGTTACTGTACTGACCCAGGAGCTTCCGGTTCACCCCTGGGTTGGGGGCCAGGACCCAGCCTGGCCTTGGAGGTGCCTGCAGTATGCAGGAGCTGGCTTGTCACCCCACATTCTCCACCCCTCCCACCCGTGGCCTAGGCTGGAATCCACCCCCACTCCCTGAGGGGCCTGGGACGCAAAGCGTGTGGTTTCTGCAGAATAAAACTGACTGTTTCCAACCAGGCCCTTGAACTGCCAAAAAATGTGGAGTATTCACCGTCTGGCCCCTGGCCTGCCGATCAGTGGGCAGCGTTCCTGGGAGGACGTCCCCGCCACGCACCAGACACTAGCTGCAGCGCCCGCAGCCTGAGCACCCCCTCCCTGCCAGGGTCCTCCCTGCCACCTGGCTCTGCACTCCCTGGAAGGCCCTTTGTGGTCCTGGTGTGCGGGGCAGGCAGACAGACAGACAGACAGAAACACCTCTCCCCTCCAAGCTTCTCTCAGGCAGTACCCGGGCAGGGGACACCTGGCAGCTCCAGGCCTGGGCGGCAGAGCTCCATGAGGCTACAATCCTGCCCACCCAGCCCCCGCCGTGGAGCGTGGGCCGTCAGCCCCATCCCTTACCTGGGGGACTCTGGGACCCTCACGCCCACCTTGTCAGACCTCACGTCTTCCTGACCAGCAGGAGCACGTGCCCCTGGGGCAGCCTGCCCTCGTCAGCCCTTCTAGGCTCTGGGCTGGCAGTGCCCTTTGCTGCCTTGGGCCATCAGAGGCCCTGGGCAGGGAGGCTGGGCTCAGAGCCCATCTGGCTCTTACTGCGGCACCACCCAGATGTGCTGCTGGTGTACCGGGCCATGCGCGGGCCTGACTGGGTGTCATCCTGTGGCAGCCCAGGGTGGTTCCACGGGACAAGGGACGCCTCTAGGGGCTTGAGGGTGGACCTCTGTTGGGGTTGGCTGGGGACAGGCACTGGGACCCTGGCCTCTGCCAAACTGTTCCAGAGTCTTTCCTAGTCCCAGCTCAGGGCCCTAAGGGGGAACAGGCCGGTGTCAATCTGGAGAACACCCCCCACGCCTCACTGGGGTCTGAGGTTTCCTTGAGCTCCCAGAGGGGCTCCAGGCCTTTTCACAGCCATGCTTCCGGAGAGAGACAGGCTGCCGCAGACTTGCCAGGACCTGTGCTCCTGGGGAGGCGGCTGCCACCTGGGCTGGAGGCCCTGTACCTTGTCAACAGTCTCGGCTCAGTAACACAGGCGCAGTGAACTCTGCCTGACCTTAGAGGCAGGCACTTTCCCAGTTTTTTCTGGTCCAGGGCTCCCGCCTTGTCCCCCCATCATGGCCTGGCAGTGCCAACTCCCCTCTGCCCTCCCCCAGCACCAGAGCCAGGGTCATCCGAACAGCACCCCTGGGACTGTCTCCAGGAGCAGCGACGGACACGCCAGACCCGGACCCGAGGCGGCCTGCAGGGCCGTGGCGATGGCCGGGTCTCCCAAGGTCCGTTTGTTCCTTGGTTAGTTCGCTGTCGTTCTCACGTCAGAGTGCACACCCAGGTGTCCCCTTGCTGCGGCCCTGTTTTGGGGGAGGCGTGCTCTGATGGTCCACGACCTCACACAGCCTCTTGGTGCCCCCCGTCAGGTGACTGTGGGTTAGACCACAGGAGACCAGAGGCCCCCAATTTTGTGCACGAGGTGATTTTAGGTGGCGCACGATGCACATTTAAGACCATGTTCTCTTCTAAGACGTTTATGGCTTTAGCTCTTATATTTGATCCATTTGGAGTTAATTTTTGTTTGTGGTGTGAGGCAGAGGTGTGCCATGTTTCTCTTGCACGTGGATGTCCGGTTGTCCATTTTTTGAAAGACCGTTTCTCTCCCACTGAAGGTTTGGGCACCCTGGCGCTGACCAGCTGACCCTAGCATAAGGGTTATTCCTGGGCTCTGTTCTGTTCCATTGGTCTGTCTGTCTGTCTTTGTGCCAGGACCCCTCCGTCTTCATGACTGTGGTTTGTGGTAAGTTTGAAATCATCTTGGTCAACACTGTTTTGGTTATTTTGGGTTCACTGTCTTTCTGTTTAAATTTTGGGATCGGCTGGTCGATGGCTACAAGCAAGGCAGCTGGGATTTGGACAGGGATTGTGTCGGTTCCCTGGGCCAGTGTGGGAGGTTGGCCCCCTAATGTTATGCTCCCAATTAGCGGACACAGGGTAGTTTTCCATGCATTTAAGGTTTTCAGTTTCTTTCCATGCTGTTTTTGTAGTTTTCAGTGCACAGATCTTACAATTCTTTTTGTTAAATTTATTCCTGAAC